ATCTATGAAAATCAATTAAATAGGTATATTGAACTGTTATGGTACATATTAACTATTCAATGACCGCTCAAGTTATAATGTTAAATGATTATTTTTGCTTAAAATTCGCCCTTCAGACGACCGCTAATGATAATAAGTAAATATGAAACAATACGAACAAAAATTATAAGCAGAAAAAAAATATCGGTTACAAAACACAGCTGCAGGGATTTCTTTGGGAAACTAGGCGTGAGGATGACAGAACAACGTAAACCTAGTGAGCAACTGCATTTAACAAAACATTGCTTGAAATAAGAAATGACCACAATATGTATTTTAATATTTTAATATGTATTTTAATAGTGAAATCATAAAGAATTAAAGAGTTGTACAACTAGTATAACACAAATAAATGAGTTTGAAACACCTACACCAGTATCAACCCAAGGTTTGGCTACAGTACAAAGGTCAAGGTTACCATATCATGGAAATACCACTTAAGTAAAAATACACCTCGAATCAATCGGAGTTGCATATGTTAGTGAGAGCTTTTCAACTACTTAGTAATGAGCAAATATAATTCTTTACAATTTACATCTTTGAACCATCTCGATCATGACAGCTTTCAATTAAAAATCGTTCTATTCATTTAGGGATTACAATGCGACTTACGTAAAACTTATAACACAACTTTGACTGCACGGATGGCGTAGTGGTTTAAGCGGTCGCCTAGCCGCTTACTACTACGCTGAGTGTTGTGGGTCCGATCCCACATGGGACTACACTTTGTGCGATCGACAAATTGTTGTTCTGAGTCTGGGTGTTCTTTGTATCCGTTTAATGTATGTTTGTAAAGTCCCCCGCGACACAGGAATATATTTCTACTGCGGGAGTTGTCTTTTAAATAAAGAAAAAAAGAAAAAAGACAGAACACCCCTCTTTTTGCGTCGGAAGTTAAACATTATATATTAACACATATCGTCAGTGAAGTTCTGACAGTAAGTTTTTATAAAACTGCAAAAAAATAACCAGGTATGGTAAATAGCATTCGTTGAAGAAACATCGCACGCTTTCTTTCGACCTGTCAGGAAGAAGATATCCAACTAATAGCGCCGTGATTTTCATGAAAACTGACACTGCGTAGTAAACCATCATAGCCAACACAGCGGAAGTCACTTAATTGCTTGTAAATTCGAAATGATCCGTAAAATTGATTGACATTTTAAGCTTAGAGGATAAATAACTCAAAGTTCTGTTAACAATATTTTCTTTATTTTAAGAACTTCAAGAAGCTGTTATCTTACTTCAGCAGAATATTATTTTTTTGTCTGTAAAGCACACATTTTTTGACTTGTGTACTAACGAAATGTTAATGTTAGTCTGGTGTAAAGCCTTGAATTGTAGTGGTCGGTATTTTTTGTACCCATTTCTTGTTCAATGCGAGATTTAACAGTAGTACATAGTAGTGTATATTCTGCTACATCATGGTCTGCACATGTAATTGATTCGAGGGACAGTAATTGTCTACGTCACGTAGACGAATCCTTGGAATAAATAATCCTAGTTGATTTGTTTATTAACCATTTCATACGTACCTGGAAATTTATTTAAAACAATCTGGAGATTTTGTTTTTTTCAACTTTCAAGATTCTCATCATGAAAAGCGTTACTATCACTAACCATTGCGTGAGATGATTATTATTATTACTATTAATTTTCAATCGTCTCTTAAGTCTAAAATCCGTTTGCACTTAAATAATGTGTAAACATTTTTAATTTCAGTCCTTAATTTTATTTCAAAAAAAGATCTGAAGAATATTCAACAGTTAAATACAAATGCAGTGTCTTTTTGTAGGCAAAAAAAAGTGTCAACATTTCAAAGTCCATTTGGGTAACCTCAAAGATATTCTACTTTATATTATTCGTTCATTTGTATTCAACCCGTGGGCCAACAGACTCGTAGCGGTCTTGAATTCATTATTCTGAACCAGAACATCTCTTTCCACGACGTACATAATCAAAAGCATTTTAAAAAAGCTGCTATAAATAAAAGCAATTACATTAATGAACCAAAATATCAGGAGGCCAATAAGCGTAATAAAAGTTCGGTCTCAATTCAGTTCCGATCAACTTTCGATCTCACTACTTTTCGTAGTAAATTATTAAACATCCAACGTTGACTGTAATGTGATTATATCATATTTTAATCAAAAATTAAATCGGTAATCAGCTAGTCTTATTAATACTTTAATATTTTACTACGAACTTACCTTAAATGACAGTTCTGAGATCGAAAATTGATCGGAACTGAATTGAGACCGAACTTTTATACGAGAATTGGCCTTCAGAGTATCGTTCGACGGAAAACCATTTTTACCACATATAGGCAGGTTCTACCGGAGTGATACCATGGCTTCACGTAAATCTGGTATTAAGCACTTCTTTTCGTTGCTGTTCACTTTTATTTACCGGAGACGTAAACTCATGCACCCCCCTCATACTTATATATATAACTTGTAAGTTGTATGTACGTGTTCATGAACGTCGGTAGTCCACACAGGAATTATGAATATTATAAAACATGAGAAATTACTTTCTAATGATGGCATAAATTAAATACAGTTTTAAGGTAAATACACTGAAGATTTACTTCATCGTTTTTATTATATGGTGTACCCTACTAAAACTAAACTTTTTTCCCCTGGTTCAACTTTGATAGTTGAACTCAGCAAATTTATTGAAGGAAATATGTTCGTACAAAGTTGTGAAAAATATATTTACAAAGTTTCTATTACTTTAGCCGGCGCTTCACACGCTGCTTCATAATTCAAGTACATTATGAAGCAACGTGTATCAATATTTTTTCGCGGTTTGTGAACTTTACCAGCATCTGAATATGGAGTCTTATTTCTATTAATAACTTAAAACAAATCACAGTTCACTTCGCCATTAATATTTCAATAATTATATATAATTCGATTAATGTTAAAAAGAGTTTGATTATTTCTAATTAGCGTTATATCAAATCTTATACTAACTAGGAAATCAAAAAACAAATAAAAAAATCTCTCGGTGTCAAAATGCTGGTATTGTGTCAAGTTATCTTCACATATTGTTAAAAGTATCAAATATCATCACCAATCGCCATCGTTCAACGCAACAAAATCCATCCCATCAACTGGATGATTGGCTCTCCACCAACACCACTTGCCTCGTAATACCAATCTATGAACATTTTTGTATTGCAGCTTTAATAATAACGCAGTATTTAGTACTGCAGTATTTATTTGAGTACTGCAATATTTATGGGCTGATACAATAGTGTACTTCCACTTTAAAGGCCAACAACGCACTTATAACGATTAAGTTGCAGGTGACATTTTCTATATGGTGTAGGGGGCAAACATGCAGTCTCGTCAGCTGATGGTAAGTGACTACCGCTATCCACGGACACTTGCAACTCGAGAGTGACAAGTGAGTTGCCGCCTTTTGAGCCCCCCTCCAAAATTATTCGTAGAGGAGGGAGGGTATGAGGCTTTTTTTATGTAAGAGTAGACAAACGAGCAGACGAATCACCTGATGGAAAGCGACTACCGCCGCCCATTAGCACCTGCAGGAGTACGCTCTTTTCTTGAAGGTCGTATCGGGCCGGAAATACCCCAGACCATGACTTGTTGCACGGATTGGTTGTGCGAGTCAAAAAGTGTGTTGAAAAGCCCGGACGAAAGTCTTACGATGTGTGGTGCGATGGCGGAAAGTTGCGGCTGGTATGAGTCCGAATAATTCATCAAACCGGCTCCGGCAAGCTCACTCACTTGGAGGAAAACAGCAAATTGTAGTACCCGTTTTCTCTGAGGCCGGTCGACCCGGCCTATTTGTACTAAAGCATGGCTCTCCCATAAAAATACTATAAATCAACTTAAATGTCCAATCGCTGTTTCCAGGAACATAATTGTTCTGATAAATGGACCCAACATTAATAAATCATTCTTGTTATCTAAGTAATTGGTATGCTGTTACTAGGGATAGGTCTGATGAAAGATTTTCAATATTCGGAACTTATTTACAAAATATGCAGATGCTTTGCTCGAGACGTACTTAAAATCGTAGACATTTTCTGCCTGACTTCACCAGTCTACATTACTACTACTATATATGTCATAGTCTCGTCTATTCCTTAGTTATACCGTTTCTCGTAAATCATTCAACGGTTAAATAGATTTCCCCTGACCCTTTATTTTGTTTCTTATTCTGTTGATTTAGGCTGAAGTTTGTACAAAGTCGTAAATCAGTTCTCTGATCTGAGTTTTTGTATTTCTTAGGTTGGGCCCGTAAATAGCATTTTGGGTAATTGGATTTTATAAAAAATTAAGTACGAGAAATACATATCCTAGACATGAAATTTGTCATACATTTGAAGTTACGAAAATCAAATTACGAAAATCATCAAATGGATACCAATCTTTTGTCATAGCTAATCCAATTCAAAGCAGTCTGGCCTTAAATTATCTGAATAACTGTTTTTTAAACAAAAGCACCGTAGCAAACGTGCTGTAATACAAAAAATAAACATTCATAGAAATTTTTAAATATAGAATTTATATGTGATTGAGTGTTTTTTATTTAAAAACAAATCATCAATCATTATAGTTTTATTGAATCACACTATCTGTATTAACAATGAAATTAAAATCAAGCTACTTCGATATATTATTAATAAATATTTGCTATAATGTACAATGTTCAACCTTAAATTGATTTGTTAAACATTGTTATTAATAAGTATAGTATAAAATATCATCATCATCATCATCAGCCTATCGCAGTCCACTGCTGGACATAGGCCTCTCCCATTGCACGCCACTTAGATCGATTTTGGGCTTCTCGCATCCAGCTCCTGCCAGCCATCTTGCGCAAATCGTCACAGGCCAGGTGGAGTATAAAATATAATGTTGATTAATTAATTTTAAGAGACTAAATTTCTTTATGGTACAGGTGCTGTGGTTGCTTTGTTCGTCAAGTCATCTCCAAGCTGCATTCAATACATTAAGGATGCTATATGATTGGTGACACATCTGTAAGAATTGTAAAAATATTATTATTTCATACAAGTAAGTAATATTTAAAACAATCCAAGTAAATTAAGACTGGTGGTTGGTACCCGGGACAAATATTTGTGTGATGAGGAAGATAATTTTCTCTGTTTGGGTGTAATTTTGCCTATAATGTGTATGTATTTAGAAATACAGAAGTACGTTTATCAGCAGTCTGGCACTAAAGTACAGGCTCTGCCTAGTTTAGGACCAGACGGGCGTGTGTAAGATGTGTAAAGTTACTATTATTATTCTACATATTTAAAAATATGAAAAATAGTAGACCACCGACATCGGGTACAGGGACCAAGACACCGGTGGTTAGGACTCCAAAGATAGGAACCTCCTCACTATACGAGTCGTGTCAAGGAGGACTGCCTTCTGCATCAGACCCTTGATCCGGCCGTCCAACGTGAGTCGTATTAAGGTGTTGGTCGAGGCTCTTGACTATCTTTCCGCGAGCAGATACGACTATCGGAACAATGATCACTGAATCAACATTCCACATATCGACAATCTCGTGAGATAAATCCAAATATTTGATTTGTTTTTCTTTTTCAACTCGCTCGAGATTTTTGTCTTGAGAAACGGCGATATCAACAATCATTGCGCGGCGCTCTAATTGATCTATCACTACAATATCTGGCTTATTGGCAACAATAGTCCTGTCTGTGATAATAGATCGATCCCAATACAACGTGGCCCGACCGTCGTCGAGAACTGGGTCGGGCACATACCTGTAGTATGGCACCTCTAGATTCACAAGGTGGCATTTAAGGGCAAGCTGTTGGTGTACTCATCCTGGCTAATTAGCAAGACGAGAACAACCAGAAATAATATGCCTGATTGATTTGCCAGGACGATGGCATGCCCGGCAGATGTCAACCATACCATCTTTCAGGATATATTTGCGATAATTATTCGTCATGATAAATTCGTCCATAATCGCACAAACAAAACCTTCAGTTTCTCCGAAGAGATCACCATACCGTAGCCAAGTCGTAGAAGCTTTTAAATCCATATCGGACCCGTTTAGGGCCCGATAAAACCGACCATGGAGCTCTTTGCCCTTCCATACTTCCCTGCGATCATTAAGACTAAGTACAGGTCTATTATTATTAAGTTATAAAGTTTTTCAATAACATTAAGGATGTGCATCCTTTTAATAAATTAAGATTAGTTACACAAATTTTAATTCTTACGTTAGCAAAGGTATCCAAGTTGATGTCGTAGAACACTGTTCTAATTCCCATAGGCGTTCGGGCTCTTGTCAACATAAACAAAATAATTTGGCGAACACGTTTATCAGGACACTTCTGCCAACCCGAAGAATATATTGCCTCCCGAAAATCATCACTCTATAATAATAATACAGAAACATAGATTAATTTACAATAAAAAATATAAGTCCATATGCAGTTACCAAATCTTATTTATTGGCTCTTCATTTAATATTTACTCGATTCTTCAATTCAAATTCACCTACTCTTAGAATACTCTTAGGATTAGTAAATAATTAACTTTAAAAAAAGTATCACCGACTTCAAAGTTTCGACGACATGATGAATTGCAAAAAACCATATTTTTCATTCCTTAATTTTTTAATCTAAGTCAAACATATCCCCATTATTTTCAAGTTTAATTATGACCAAATCTGAAGTATACCCTCCCAAAATCTAAATAAATCCAAATCGGTCCATAAAGTACTGAGTTCTGAAGTAGCACAAAAGAACCGAATTGAGAACCTCCTTGTGTTTAAAAGTTGTTAAAAAAAAGTAGAATTTGATACGTAAAGAGCACCAAATTTTGTTCGTAAATGAGACTTAGACAACCTTAGCAAGGAAATAAAATTCATCTCACCTTTTTCATCAGGAGGTCACTATAGTAAGAAGGTATGAAAAAGTGCAACATTGTTGCGACAAATACAACAACAAATTCTATATTTATCCAATGATTTCGCAAATCCTAAAATTAAACAAAGGAGATAAAGTTATTAAATTTATTGAATATAGTAAAGCGATTCCAGGATTGATAACTTACATACAACAATGAAATATTACTCACCTCGATAATTTGAAACGCAATAAGCGGTAAAGCGATAGTAGTAAGTTTGATATTGAATTCGTATAAGATTGTAAAGCAAGATTTTATACTATCCACAAACCTGTAATGTATAAAATAACATTTCTTCATTTCTATGCAACTTTTATCAATATGATTATAAAAACATGATTCATATGCATACTTGTAGAGACTTTGTAGTTTTATAATCATTTTCTTCAATTGTTCTTCTATTTCTTTTGGGTCTTGAAATTCAGCAAATATAGTGTCTAAACGCTTTTCAAGTAGACCTATCTGGCCACATACATGCAATAAAAATATAGGGACCAATGGATCAAAGCCGACTAACATTGTGGAGCCATAAATATCAAATGAAAATGTTAAAGCGAACAGTAACCAGAATACAATGGGAATATTTTTAGAACTTTCGATTGGCTCAGGATACGTCATTTCAAAGAGCGACACAAGCTTGAATTCACCCTTCCAATAATAGTAACCCATAGACATAAAAGCTTTAAAAGGAAATATGATGCTAACGGCAAAAATAGAAAGGGGCCAAAATCTGCATACATTGACTCCTTTTTTAGCGTAATGCAAAACAATTTGTTTATCGTCTTCACTATTGTTATTATTTTCATCGTAATCTTTTTCTATGAATTTAAAGAATCCTTTTATTGATTCCTGGTGTCTTAGTAATGAAATATGTTTTAAAAGTACATTAAATAACACAAGGGCCATGGTACCATTTTTGCAAGCTTCAGCGAAATCGCCTAATTTTAAATCGTGAGTGATGATTGAAAAACACAAAGTGTATAAATTTAAAAATGAACAAGTGAAAATAAAACAGAAATGCAATTTCCATGTCTTATTACGTAATAAATCGGGATGAGCACGATTAAATCGTAAAGACATGGTTGATATTTTAAACAAATCATCAAATCGTTTTAAAGTATTCGACATGTTGTCGGTTGTGATGCTTGAAGCAATATGATAACTATTGCTGCTACAAATTGAATTACGTAGTTACCGCAATCATGTTCACCGTTAAGTACAGATTGCAGTGATTACTTTGAGAATTTATGCCTGCAAAAGACATGTAAAATATCTATCTACTAGAAAACAGATATTAAAATAAAACTATTGTCTTTGCTGCAGCTATGCCTGTGATTTTATCATCGGTTAAAACTAATGTTTTCACTACTACTAAGAGATGACGCAAATTGATTTTTATTACTGCAATCACTATTCAAAAGGTGCATCCGAAAGCAAATAAAACTATACCTAATGAAAAAAAAAAACATTTTTGTCTTAATAATAATAGCATAGTTCAATAATCCTGTTATGCTAGTCTGAAAATATTTTAGAAATTATTGTGTAACTTAAATTCGATTAAAACATTTGATTTCTGGATTCGATTTGGTTCTAATTCACTCTTAGAGACAGTTAGAAACCGAGGAAAATGGGTCATCTCATCTAACAAACAGGTTGATGGATCGTTCTTATTCAGCCTGGACGACGGCCACGTAGGGTCACAGCTGACTCATTCTGAGGGTATTATCGTGTTTTCTATATTACATTACATTAACGAAAAACTAATCTAAGCAGAATAAGCAAAGTAGAAAAAATGATATTATTTTAGTGCAGTATAACAAGAAGGGATGTATTCCCAATTTTGTTGAATTTTATCGATTTCACGAAATATTAAAGAAGCGAGATTAAAACAAATAAATCGCTGATTTTTTTTCTTGTTCATAAATTATTCACAAACTAACACACACACACCCACACTTTTTCATTTCTAATAGTAGCGAAGGTTGGTACTTTGAGTATTGTGATTGTTTCGTATCTTACTAATTCAGTTAATAATAGACTATTGAATGCAGTAAGATCTAGGAAAAAATGGATGAACTACACGATGGATTTTAGTGTAGGTGAGCTCTCCTAAATTGCAACAACAACTACGGTTTTGTTGAACGAAAATGTGTTTTAAGTCTTGCGTTATTTTAATATTTTTCGAAATGGTTATGAAATGTCTGTCTAAAAAAGGGTTCAGTACCTTGTACCTTCAGTTTTCACTTACACTCAATCGCCAGGAGAGAATTGAGTCCCGCCTGTCACCAGTGCGATTGCAGTGAGGACTCCGATCAGCACACGCTGGCAATTTGTGTGGCCAGTATTGACAGATGTTTCACGAAGACGTCATCTCGCAGAAGGAGGCGGCGGAGAGAGCCCGGGAGGACAACCTCTACTCAGACCCAATCCATCGCCGTCGATCCGGGCGGCGGAGGCGCGTTTACCACCCCCTTATGCCGCCCTGAGTGTGGCCACGGGTGGACGGTACGGGTTTTCCTCTCCACCCGCCATAACGGCCAGCCGCGTGTGCCGGACGTCGCCTAAATAGAGAATGTACCCGAAGGTAGAGCCCGCGCCTTTGCGGGCAGGCGCTGGGAGGGGTCCGGATGTCTAAATAACAACAGTTCCCGGATCCCTCCTATTACAGGCGCAGAGTGGCACACCGTGTAGTTTTAGTCGGTCCGATTGCGACACACCACCCCGCCGCAAACCCCGGTGGGGTGACAGCCCGAGTAGGTTTCCACACGTAAAAAAAAAATACAACGCGCCTCAACGCACTTATGCACTTGAATAACAGGTGCAGGTGGACAATAGTAGTTCTTATCATAAAATAATAATAATAGTACCTAATTCAGTTTTTTTACCTTCCCCCGTCACTAAAATCTGACGTTACTTTTAAAATTCTGGCGAAAAAGTGCGAAAGAAACGCCATTTATATAGATAATTTGTATCTTAAATAATGTGGAATTTCAGGAAAGCGTTGAAAAATATATGTTTGCAGTCCCGTGTTCGTAACAAAGAGTGAACTAATTGAAGTGGTTGTCGGACGTCAGGGAAAAAGTTCAACCGATCGCAAAACAAAAGGGAGGAAATAGGTTTTCGTTTCAATCGTCCATTTTGACGAAGGCCTGCGGGTCTTCAATTCGATAAATCACTTGTTTTGTGCCAAGAATAGTAACTAAGTAATAAGTACTCGTAACTCATTGTTTTGTTAAATTATGTTTTTAAAGTGCGTTCAGAAGTTTCAGCGTATATACTTTGTTCACATTTGATTTTTTTTAATTGCCTGCCTCGGTGGTAGCGTATGCGACTGCTGTGCTGATGTCTCTGCTTTGTTTCCCGGATCGAACCAAATGTTTGTATGATCTGTAATATTTGTTTCAGAGTTTGTGTGTTTTCTATCTATGATACTTATTTACAAAAAAAAACTCTTTTTAAGTATTCTATCAGTCAATCTAGTTTTCATAGTACGAGCTCTGCTTTAATTGAAACTGTATGGCGTTGTGTGTTAGATTTTCGAAAATATTATAGATTATATTATTTGTCGCGGGAGAGCCATGTTTGATCACTTATGAGCTGGCTAGAATGAAGTGACACAGGGCTTCACAGAAAACTGCCTGATGTCGGCAGACTGAACTAATTTAGGCCTTACAATATGGATATAAATGTAATTGATATATGCGTAGTTCATAACACGCAAAAATTATAAAATCCTCAAACCCAGTACCAACAACGGAAAAATTATTTTATGTATCAAGGAGCACGGATCTCACAACTAAGTACCTTTAAATATAAGAGAAGCATAACCGCTAATATAATTCAAAATACTATTAAAACAACGCACTTTCAACCATATTAGGTATGTGACTCTTTTGACCTCTCTTTTAGTTCATCAGGGTGAACTCGTGTCCGTTCTTGTAACCCTTTTTATAAATAAGAGTGTTATTTTGTATCCTACTGACGTTTGTAACAAGGCCTATACAATAAAAAATATTATAGTTAGAGTTTAAGTTTGGTGACCGGACAGACGACTAGAAACTGTAAAGGGTTTCTTATTAAGGCTAAGGAACCTCGGTGTTTCTCTGCTTGCCAATGTTCTGGGGAGCGTCTCACCCAAGACGGGTCTCGTCACCTGCATAAAAGCATCAAAATGATCTCAATTCTGTTGGATGGTTTAGAAATTGGCAGATATTCGTATAGATGCGTACGTAAAACTACTTCATTTTTTACTATTAAAATATGTTGAGCATAACTCGTAATACCTAATAGTAGCTTACTAATCAAGATATAATATCAGTTCGGATGTTAATAGTTAGCTCTCGATATTAATATGGCCATTAAAACATGTTAGCTGAATGTTGTATACAGAGTTTGATACTCGTGATGTATTCACACGAGCAAATGCAAAGTAATTAATCAAAACAGCTCGCGTTCGGTGATTAAATTGATAGAGATTGTACACAAGGAGATCTAAACTTAACACAAATGGGCACAAATGGGCAGGTTCGACTGGAGTACTTTTTTGTTTTTTAAACACAACTCCCGAATTCCCGAATATCCTGTGTCGCGGGCGACTTTACAAATATACATGAAACTTACACAAAGAACACCCAGACTCAGAACAACAATTTTTTGGATCACTCAAAGTGTCGGTCTATGTGGAGATCGAACCCCCAACACTCAGCGCAGTAGTAACCAATGGTGGTAACCAATTCTTTGAGGTCACCGAAGCCCAACCTTTATTGGTTTTCATTTCCATAATTTACCTTCCTGCTAAGTCTTGTATGAAACAAATTACTTCCCCAAGGAACATCGTCGCCAGACATTTCGTCAGTTATAAAACAAAGCAGCCAAAACCTTTTAAAATGTTATTTGTTGCCCCGACTTGAAATAGAATTAGGGAAATGGTGGTAAAGGTATAATTTTATCAACGCTGAAAATGAAATACTGTTTTTTTACACTTATAACGCATATAACTATTCGCCTTTCTGTTTAATAAATCTTTATCTACTGTAGAGTATCCATTACATACATCTGAAATTGACTTCCTGAACGATCGTTGTGATTTAATCTCTTAAAACCGATGAATTGATTACCTACTCTTATCTATATAAATACCAGTACGTAATCGCTAATAAAGATTGATTTCTTGTTGAACACGAATCACGGTCTTCCTTATAATAGATAGCTGGTATTAAATTTTGCAAGCACTATTTTTTTTTCTTTTCAAAAGACAACTCTTGCATTAGGAATATATCCTGTGTCGCGGGGGACTTTAAAAACATACATGAAACGGACAGAAAGAACACCCAGACTCAGGACAATAATTTGTGGATCAGACAGTGTCGTGTTACGCATATGGGGATTCACCCACAACACTCAGCGTAGTAAGCGGCGTGGCGAACGCTTAAACCATTACGCTATCCGTGCGTGCTATTTTTATAATGCCTTGCTTTATATTACTTAGTATGTGTTCCAGGCCCCTTAGAAAGGAGAGA